AATTAAAGCATTCAAGAGACACAAATGCATGTACAAGTAAATTGAAAAACTGTAAAATATATATTAAAAAACATTAAAATTTAAATTATGTGTTAAAATATATAATTTGTTGGAACTAAGCTGGAAAAATAATATGAAGGTCAATAAAACCTGAGGTAAAGTTCTCCTTTTTAATTTATTTGGTGCATTTTAAATGTGTTTATTTATTTAAAGGTTAATTTATCTATTTCTGCTTTTATTTCTAATTATGTCCATTTAGGTCCTCCGTACTGCAGAAGCCTGATAATCATCTATTCATTCATATCAGGTGTGTTGGAGCAGAGAAACAAGTAAAACATGCAGGGCTGCGGCCCTCCAGGACCAGGATTGCCCATGCCTGATCTAGGACCACTGTACGGCAGACAACATGTAACATGCACTCACACAGAACAACAAAACACATTAATGTCACACTACAAGGTTTTCTAATATAACATAGGCTTTGTTTCTACATAAAACCACTGCTGTGAAACGTTGTGATGTATTGTGTCTGTTTTTTAATACAGTATAAGAGCAGTTCAGTAGATTTGCTACATTGGTGATTTAGGTTTTTCTCGTGGCAGGAGTGATAAAACTTCCTTTGATATTATTGATTTAATTAGGCATTTAAAATCCAAACACTGCAGAGTAAACAGAGCTCACCCAGGTAACATTGTCCACAGGACAATATGGACAAAAGGACAACAGAACAGTGGTTGAATCTATGGCTCTGATGGAGAAAAAAGGTTTTCCTCCCAACACTACAGAACCAACACACAGCTACTCAAGATGCATCAAAACTTTAGAAACAAAATGAGCTCAGGTTATCTTATTCCAAGAATAAGATTGCATTTATTTAAACAAGTTTAAAGCAACTAAATTATTGAGACAAATATGTTTTTTAGACGTAGGACCGGCAAAAATTACCCTAAACTCCAAATGATTAACAATCCTCAGCTCAGCTCTTTCTCTCCAGTATTAATAAACTAATTAAAGGTGAAGAATTACTTCATCAACCTGAGCCGAGGCGACCTGAATAATCTGCTGCACCTTCCTCTGACGACGTGTTGACTCTGGGGGGGGGAGAGGTAAGACTGACAAAGAGGACACCKACTAATGTGTTTCACTCGTCACCAGGGTGATTCACGCTGGTTGTCATGGAGACTGGAGGCAGGAAGCGAGAGGGAAGACGGGATAAAACTCAGAGCTTCAACGAGCCAGTTGGGAGGTTTTAGGATGTGACAGAATGAAGATGACAAAGACAAACATTAATCTGTAGGGTTGAAAAAAAAAAGAGAGAAATATCTTCTTATGGATGGATGGGTGGATGGATGGATGGATGGATGGTAATTAGATGGATGGATGGATGGTGACTAGATTGCTGGATGGATGAATGGTAACTAGATGGATGGATGGATGGTTGGATGGATGGATGGATGGATGGTGGATGGATGGATGGATGGATGGATGGATGGTAACTAGATGGATGGATGGATGGATGGTAACTAGATAGATGGATGGATGAATGGTTGGAAGGATGGACGGAGAATGAGTGAATGAATGAAGTTTCCTGTTTTGCTGCTTTGTTTAGGTACAGTTGTGTGTGAAGTGTTAAATAATTAAGGGTGTATTTTTATTACTCCTGTTAATAAAATGACAACAAACTCGAATTAAAACTAACTATAAATGTTATTATCTTGATATAAAAATAAAACAAGTGGTGCAACACATCTTAATCTCATTTACTCTTCGACATGTCAAAACACTAAGTGTTTGGTTTGGACCCCCGGTGTTTCAGGTCCTGAACCGCCTCTGGTTTTAAATCAGACTAGTCGTCTGGTCAGAGAAAAGGCCGCAGAGAGAGAGAGCTCTGTTCGGATGGAGGCCAGCAGACGGCGTCCTCCTCTCCAACATGAGGCGCGTTTTAAGCCGATCAGCAGCTGATTCAGACGCTGCTGAGTCGCTGGAAAACTGCGCGTGAATTTGCAACTCGAATAATTCTAGTCCGGATTTTTTTAATCCTGAAGTAAAATGACCGGTAAGCACTTGTTGCCACTATTTTATTATGTAAACAATGACGACCTAAAAGTAAAACAAAGCAGCATCAGTCTGTTCTGAAAAATAAGCAGTAAATTCTCACCTTGTCACACGGCTGCAGGTCTCCGTCGACCGACGCTGATGATGAGAGAGCGCTGATGAAGATGAGGAGAAGGCAGCGGGAGAGCCGGGAGGTGCACGCCAACTCCCACATCCTCAGCTCGGATCACAACCAGCAGGCTGTCCGCTGCCCGGAGCCACGAACATGAAACAGGCAGAGCAGCGAGGGTCTGCGGGTTGTCGCTGTCATCATCCACCTCCTCTTCTGCTACCCGAACCACAACACAGCAACTACACTTCCGGTCTGACTTTCAAAATAAAACCTCAGCGTTAAAGCACATCCGCATCCATTTATAGGCAGGTTTTCACAAAATTTACAATCAATAAAAACTACGTAAATTCCAAAGGTCTATAAAGTACTTGAAAAAATAGCTAAATAAAAGTAAAAATACATCAACAGAAAATGAACTTGGTAAAAGATGAGAAAAGTACTCAAGTAAAAGTCATAAAACTGTTAACAAAAAACGGGGAAGTAAAAGTAAAAGTACTTTTCCACGCTGTACAACAAATAAACTGTTAAATTCACAGAATCAAACTGGCTCCACAAAAC